AGACAGTTTCTGGTAGACCACCATCCCGTTAGGGCACATGTCTAGAATGCGTTCTCTTCTACGCCCTTCACCCCCTTGGGGGAGTGGTTTGCCTGGACGGTGGTTCCAAGAAGGGCTCATATATACTTCAAGATGTCCACGGATATGTCCCAATATCACGCGATGCCTCAACATGCAGGCATGGATATCACGCGACCCAAGATTGCCCAAGCTTGTCCAAGATATCACGCGATCCAAGATTGCCCAAGAAGTCTCAAGGTCAAGAGATCGATCCAAGAGTGGTCCAAGAGCGGCCTATTCACGCAAGCGAATTAAGGCACCTCCTATTCCTCCTCCTCATCCTTTTTTGTCATCCTTATGCTCCGTCCTCCTCCCCCTTTCCCTCCTCCCATTTCTCCTCCACCATCCCCCTCTGTTTCAGCCCCTCCTCCTCGCCCCCCTCCCCCGCCACTCCACCTCATCATCCAATGTATCATCCTCCTCCTCTCCTTCCCCCTCCCCTGGTGGGAATGCGCGAAGCGTCCACGATTGCGACATATCCAGAGAACTCCTATTGTTCTTAATGACGCTGGCCCTGTCGCAATCTTGCTGAAGCAATGGGTCGGCCTGCTTCAAGTGGTCCCAAATGGCCTCGGTGCAAGCGGCGTTGCGCATCTTCAAGATCTGATCGAAAAACGAATTTGTCGCCAGAGGCGATTGGCTCTTGGTGGGGTTGGGCACAGATATAAATTTTTGCAGCTGCCTATCCGCTCTCGACAGCTCCACGAAGAGCCCCCCTGCCGTATGCATCACCGCCCTCGGGACCCATGGCTCGCGATCCTTAAGGCCGCCCCCCTCGATGACCGTGCGGAGCTGCACGCTCACTGCCATCTGCAGCTGCAGTGCGTGCGCAGATGCAGCGTGCACTCGCTTGGACACAGCCAAACGCCTGCGGGCCGATGCAATGGACAATTGCAGACGAGTCCGATGCGTGTTGACGCAATGATGCAACGATTGCAGAGGAACGATACCGACGATGCTTTCATACATTTCATAAACACCCCCCACGACACATGGTATGTGCAACCGATGCTGCCAACACGCGAGCCTCATCGCTTCCTGGCCTTCTTAGCCGCGGGCGCAGCAGGCACATCGTCTACCTTGCGCTTGGGCATGAGCGATGCCAGCTGGGCGCTAAGGACATCGCCCTTGTTGATGGCGCACTTGTTTGTCAAAATTGGTACATACACTGATGGGACAGCTGTAGACTTGACGGTCTTGAGCTTCATGTTGGGGGTGCCGTGCTCACCTGAATCCTGTACGAGCCAGAAGGGGATGACGAGCGAAGACGGTGCCTGCTTCAGCCCTCCAACGCCAGTGTTCGTCTCAGCCTTAGGCATCTTGATGCCACCACTGGGGGCCAACACGATATTGAACGTCAATCCCTTGGGGTCCTTGTATGTCTTCATGAACACATGCCCACACTGAACTATATCAGTCTGCTTCTTCAAGTAGATTGCCGAAGAGAGTGGGACAAGCACCAGCTCTTCAGCCTCAAACGAACGCGTTACGGTGAGGGCACGAAGCTTAACAGGCGTAATCACGCCACTCAAGTACTTGAGACAGTTGCCGTTCTGGCTGTATACATCATCCAAGGCCAGCCTGATTTTGGCCTCCTCGATACCCCACTGGTAATCGACAGACTTGAGGGGGCCATGATCAGCGAACTTGTCGATCGTTTCCTCTATGGGGGAGCAGCGGGAAAAAAAAAAAGATGAGACATGACGACGCAGAGCCAAATGAGATGAGGGAACGACGAACGAGAATTCAAAGGTGTGGGGGTGTATATGCATTCCACATGCATTGCGACGAGGTCGCAAGACTGTCCTTCATAATCGTGGACACGACGAACTTGCCACGTAAGAAGTCGTCGATGGGGTGGCATGTCGCACTGCCCGTGGCCTGAAGCTTCAACTTCACGCCAGTCGCAGCGTCGATGGAGATCAGCTCGTAAATGTCTCACCCAAGGTGTCGCTCGCCAAGGCGACTTTGGCGCCAACCTCAAACCCCTTGTCACTGAGCTTGTCCACTTGGTTCGACCACTTGCCCGAAGCGGTGTACTCTTTCACATCTGAGCTACGCGCCTGCCCTGTCACGGCTTTGGATGCGCCCTCGCGACCGATCTGCTTCCATGGGCTAGCAACTGCTTTGCCAACGTGCGTTGCCAACGCAGTGGTGAAGCTGACCCCGATGTCATTCAGCGTCTTGCAAGTGCCTAAGCGCTCATCGGGCTTGTTGAACACGAAATGAACTACGCGAACGTCAGTCAATCCCACGATGGTGCCGTAGGCGACCGTGTCTGCCGTGATGCCCTCACCGCATGCGATCTGTCGCACTTTCTGAAGAAATTCATCGGCCACCATTACAATCGTAGACTTCTTATCGCTCGACAAGGCGGTCACGTCGCCTGGCTTCAAAAGCATCTGATGGCCATCCCTCGCGAACTTACCCGTCGCACATGTCATCGCCTTCATGCATGCGAGCTTGAATGTCGCAGCGGACCCCTCATGCTTGATCTGCACCTCGGCGAGAGACTTCGCCATTGAACCCGTGACCACGCACTGGGAGGTCAGCTGCCGCGAGAAGTCGCGAAGCTCGTTCAGAAAGATCGGGTTGCCGAGGCCGCCAGACAACTCCTTCACATATTTTACTAAGCCATCGATCTCCCCAGGAAAGAGAGAGCCTGCGCGAGTCGCCTCGCGGATCACACTATCCCAATCGATCATGGTGCCACCCGTGTGGTGTCGGTTGGCAATTGCTGAGATCTTGTACATGAGACTCATGCGAGATTCGCATCTGGCAATTTGTTGGCCTGCATTGCCGGCCTCCTGAGCAAGATTACTAATCCACGGGAACTCCTTCACGAACTCGTACCGAAAGACCTTCCGCTCAATTCCTTCGTCACACGCCTTAGCGTAGTCTGGTTGAACCTCCCGTAACCTCGTCAGTGACAATTTCCCTTGGTGCGAGATTCGGTCGAAACGCTCTGGCATGACCGTGGGTGCTGGAACCCCTGCGTTGATGCAACGCAAACCCATGGATGTGTGGCCGCACGTATAGGATGCGAACTTTGCATCGCAATCATACTGCGGCAGCTGGCCCGCTGAGTCCTCCATTATTTTGAAATTGAAGTTCTTGATTGTATTGTACTCAGGCGTGCCCACTGGTGGAAGTTCCATGCAAGCTGGATTCTGGAGGGCTGAGTTCTTGAATCCATTTTTGAAGATCTTGGAAATCAAATCCATAACCTCGCTCGGAATGATTCCATCTCCGTAACGATTCTCTGTGCACACCATCATATACTTCGAGTGTATTTGTTCTACCCTCAGGCAGTTTATGCCTCTTGCAATGCTGCATACGTCTTCAAGTAATGAGACCACCGCTGCATCAGGATGCAAGTACATGTCCTTGATGGCCATCATCTTGGGGCGGACCTCCGCGATCTGCTGTTCACGGGAGGCGTTCATCACGCCGCGTGCAGGAGGACGCCACAAGCGCCAGCAGCAATCCTCGCCCAAACGGCTGGAGCCCAAACTCTAGTGACATTCAAAAACATGTGCAACAGAGGGTTGCGAATTCGAAATGATATGTTGCATTTGCAATGCACAACATTCTTGTAACGCTCGATACAATATTCTGAATGCGTTCGCACGCAAGTCTGGATCATGATTTCCGATATGCGTGATCCCGAAAATCCAAACACATGCATGCGTTTCTGGAGGCAACATCCAAGGAAAACCCGATGCAGCAGCTCTGTTTTCAAGTAAGCATGTAAAAGTTAGCGAAGTTAGCAACTTCGCTAACTCAAGCTATCTACCTCCAAATGCACCGCCCGAGTTAGCCGACTTAGTAACATTACTAATGGTTATAACTTACTTGCAACCTAGTTGCAACTTACTTATAACCTACTTACATGTGCTGCTAACAATTAGTAAGGCCGAGGGCCTTCAGGTACGCCCCCCTGCCGTCGGCAGAATGCACCTACATCGATCCCGTGCCTATGATCGGACTGGCCAGGATCGGTGCAGGTGTATAGCTGGTGCCCTCCGACATCGCTCGGACGTCCATTTCCTTTTTTTTATTGGTTTCGTCCGTGTTTTTTCGTCGCCAAATGATCCAGGATGCTCCTCGATGGTCCTCGCCGAAGGAAAAAATGCACACGTCCGAGCGATGGCGAGCAGTGCGCCGGAGGTCGGGGCCTCCGCGGAACCCTTGAGGCCCCCTGCATCCTGGGACCGCCCCGACCAACGAAAACAGCAGACGCAAGAACAAGCTCGGTTCTCGATCCTCCTAGCTTCAAAGGAGCCTCAAAGGGGCCCAAGGATTCCCAATAGATTTCCACATATATATATATATATATATATATATATACATATATATATATATGTATATATATATATATATATCCCCAATCAGTGCTTGCACTGAAAGGGTCCTAGCGGAGATTGAAGGATTTGGCGAAAGTTCCCCGACAATTTTGGTGGCAAGCTGGGTTCCTGGGTTCCCCGGTTCCCGGTTCTCGGTTCCCGGGTTCCCGGTTCCGGGTTCCAGGCCGATTTCGGAGGGCGTCGAGGTTCCCGGGTTCCCGGGTTCCTGGTCGATCTTCTTATCGATCAGTCTCACCATCGATCTCATTACCGACTTCTCGATCGATCTCACCCTCGATCTCACAATCGATCTCACTATCAAGATCACAAGCGATCTCACCAGAGATCGCATGAACGATCCCGCGATAGACCTCAATATCGATCTCATTGAATCGATTGCACTTTCGGTCTCACGATCGACCTTACAATCGTCCTCACTATCGATGATACTATCGATCTCATTATCGATCTCACAGTCGATCTCAAAATCCAGAGTCCCCATTTTCAAATCATCCATTGTTTGGGGCTTCCTGAGGTGTGCTTGTGTTGGATCATCGCCTCACCACACTTCCCACACATGCTCCCAGATTTTCTGGGGTAGCGACGATTGCTTGTGTCTGTGTGTTTTCACTCTTGGTATAATTAGCCTCCGCACGCCGCCGCCTGTCTCCGTTCTTGCAGGCCCACGCGGCGGCGCCGCACTCGCGCGTGCCGAGGACGACGTCACCTCTCCGCCGCAGCCCCTCCAGCAGCGCCAGCACCGCGGGCCAATCGCCGGCACTCTTCCAGGCCTCCATGTCGGCGCTGGGGTCCTGCGGGGTCGAGCGCAGCCGTGGATCAGCGATGCATGGATCCGGCGCGCGGCCGCCAGGTCCGCGGATCGGGGGAGGTGCCCACCCCAACGTGCGGCCGGTGCCGCCTCGCTCGGCGGCGGGGAGCCGCGATGGCCCACGGAAGCGGGGCCCGTCGCTGATCCACGCCCCCTTGTGGGAGGCCTGGAAATGGGCACCAACACCAAGACAGAGGGCTGCCTCCACAGGAGGGAGGTGATCCTAGATCTCGGTGTTGGTGGTAATATTTCGGCCACCTTGGAAGCCAGAATATTACCACCATCACCGAGATCGGCATCTTCTTCCCTCGGTGGAGGAACACCGCCGATATTGGTGTTGGTGTCAACCTCTAGGCCTGCGACCTTGATCCGTGTTTGGCGATCGCCTGGGTCCTGCGGGGGCGCATGCCAGCAGGTCGTGGGCACGTACGTGTCCTCCAGCCCCACGCCGGTCCTGGCCGGGCGGCGCGCGGCAAGGGGGCGGCGCGGGGGGGGCGGCCCGCGGAGAGGGCGGAGCTGCTTCTTGCAGGGCAGGGGGGGTCTCAATTAGCTCGCTCCCCCCGGGGGCGTCCAGGGACTTGGCTGCCCCGATACGCAACACGCAACACGCAGCGTACTGATTCGGAGCTCAACACGCAGTCTGAAAACGCAGGTCTGACGCGGTACGTTCGCACAGACGTTGGCCAACACGTCGAGGCCAACACGCAACGTATTGGCACGGACGTTTTGAGCACGGCACGTGCTGCGCATCGAAACGGGCGTGTCGAGGCAGCCGAGCCCAGGCAGCCGTCACAGGAGGAGGAGGAGGAGGCGGAGGAGGAGGAGGAGGAGGAGGAGGAGGAGCCGCCAGCCGTCTGCGGAGGCCGCCCCCCTCTCTCTCTCGCGCCCGCCCCTTGCGCTCGCGCCGCCCGCGGCGGGCGGCACGCCGAGGCCGTCGGCCTTCCGCTCCGATGGCCCCGCTGTATATAGACTCCCCAATCCGAGCCTGCACTGCTTGCGGATGCCCTGGCCCTGGCCTCGGCGGCCACGCTCCAGAGCTCTCCCCCTCCCCGGCCCTGCCTCCGCAGGGCCCGCTCCTCCTCGCCGCGGAGGCCTCGATGGGGTCCATGTAGCGGAAGTTGAAGGATTTGGCGAGAGCTTCCCGCCGATGTTGGTGGCAAGCTGGGTTCCCCGGTTGCCGGTTCCGGGTGCCCGGGTTGTCCCGGTTATTGGTTCCGGGCCGATTTCGGTGGGCTCTGGGTTCCCGGGCTCCCGGGCCCCCGGTCGATCTCCTCAGCGAAAACCATCCACTGATTGTTTTTTTGTTTTTCTGGTGTCACACACACATATATATACATATATATATAAATGTGTATGTATAGAGAGAGGCCTCCTAGATGGGGTTGGAGTAGATGGGGTTGGAGGATCGCACCGCATCGCCAATGCATCGCCGATGCACCAGCGACGCTGGCGATGCATCGGCGACGTAGGCGTGAAGCAAATCGGGCTCCGCATCGAGCCGCATCGTCGATGCATCGGCGATGCGGCGCGAACCTCCGACCCCTATCTACTCGGGCCCCATCTGGGAGGCCTAGAAACTACCAGGAACTCCGGCGTGGGTTCTTGCGTGGTAGACGCTGCGGCCCCCGATGAGCCGTGGCGCAGCGTGGAGGGGCGGAGGTGGGGTGGGTCGTTTGTTTGTTGGTCGACTCGTCGCAGCAGCTGGGCGCAGCTCGGACATGTGGCGAGGAGGACCCCCCGGGAGCGGTCTGGGGGCCCGTGGAGTTGGGTCGAGGTGCGGAATGAGTGAGCAGCCTGCTTCTTAGGCTTCTCGGAATACAGACATGCTGTTGTACGGCCCCTGCCTTCTCGGAAGGCCCTCCCTCGACCTGCCCCATTCGACGCGCCGCGGGCCTTGTCATCTCGTCCTCCATCGCCAGGGCGTGCTCCCACTGCCCTGCCGCGTCACAGGAGCGCACGCAAGAGCTGAGGAGATTCGCCTTCGGCTGCAGCGCGAGCCTGAGCATCTCGGACAGCCAGTAGATCGCATCGGACCACCTCTGCTTCGACACGTACTGCCTGATGATTCTCTGGAAATCGTCGCTCTCCTGCAGGTGGCCTCCAGCGTCCAGGAACGACACGTAACCGTCGAGATCCTCCTCGGAGATCTTGGGGTCCCTGACCAGGTCCAGGATCGGGTGCTGGGTATTCTGCCGGCCTGCTTCGCCATCATCGCGGTCTCCGATGTCGTCATCGCCGTCGTAATCGTCGCCAGCCGTCGGAATCGTCTCGTCGTCGTCTTCGTCGTCGTCGCCGTCGGTATTCGTCGTCGTCAGCCCCGCCGCCGGCAGCCAGAATCGCCGTCGCTGCCGTCATCGTCGTCGTCGTCGCCGCCGCCGCCTCGCCGCCGTCGTCCGCCGCCGTCCGTGCCGCCGCCGCCGCCGACGCCACCGCCGCCGCCGCCGCCGCCGCGCCTCGCCCGCGAGCCAGCGCTCGCCGCGCGCCGCGGGACGCGAGGCGCGAGCCCGCCGCTTGCGGCCACTCCGCCGGCGCGGCGGGCGCGCCCCGGGCCCTGCCGCGCCGCCCGCGGCACTGCGCGGGGGCGGCGGGCGCGAGCGCCGCCCTGCACGGGCTGCCCGCCATGCCGCGCGGGGTGCGGCGCGGCCCGCGCCGCATGCGGCCGTCGGCGGGCGGCCTCGGCGCGGAGGCGGGCGCGGCCGGGAGGCCGCGCCCGGGGCCGCCGCCGGCGGCGGCTGGAGCCGCAGCGGCCACGGCTGCTTCGGGGCTGGCGCGGGCGAGGACCCCAATCCCGGCGGCACGCACGGGGGGGGGGCAGAGGGGAGGGGGGGGGGGAAGGCTGCTTGCAAGGGGGCTGCTCCTCGGAAGGCGCTGGCCTTGCATCAGTAACGAAGGCCTGCGCCTTCTGAGGAGCAGCCTCCTTCTAAGAGGCCTTCCCCCCTCCCCCTAATTACAGTAGGAGCTCGACCACAAGAAACCTCCCACAAGAAGAAACCCAACCCTGAGACCCCAGGACGTCCACTGACTTTTGGTGTGGGAGCGTCACGCTCTCCATGGCCAAACCGTCGAATCCCAGGACACCCAGAACGCCCTGGAGGCAAGCAGGGCGTGCCTTGGCCCGGGGCTTCCCTGTGCCCCCCTCGGCGCGAGGCCGACAGGTCGGCCGACTGCCCCAAGGAGCAGGCCAGACGAAGAGCAGGGGGGGCAGGGAGGCCACAGGCTTCGGGCGGGGAGGCGGCGGAGAGGGAGCACGGGTCAGGGGGGGGCGCGGGGGGGGGGGGGGGCGAACAGGGAGGAGTGAGCGTTTCTCTATTCGGCCTTCGCTTCGGCACTGGGCGGGAGGGGGAGGGAGGGGGGGGGGGTCTGGCTCTGGACCTCTGCTCCATGCGACTGCTCGCAACAGTGCGTCCTGTGGGAGAGACCCCACCTACATGACACAGACGCCCAAACCAGCCAAGATCTACTCCATGGGGTGGGTGCGAGGACCCGCGCGGATCCGATCGGCAAAACAGTGAACAAGAAGACGATCACTAACAGGCGATGAGCTGTACAAAACAAATAGTTTCGCCGTCGGGTATGCCTGTCCCAGGGCGGCTGGACCAATCATACGTCCTACGATGGCACCTCGGGGCAGAACCTTCCCAGCCGGCTGGGGACACGCGCCCCTGGTGACGGAAACGCTTATGTTCTACCGTTCTTCGGAGGGGGGAGCAGAGGCCGGGGCAGAGTGGTCATGCAAAGACGGTAAGGAGGGTTGGGCGTATAGGAGCAAGAGATATGTACGCTCGATGGGTAACCTCCCAAAAACCAACAAGGACTGCGCTCGATACGCCCACAAGTCTCTGGAAGCTCCAGGATGCCTCCGCTCTCGCGAGGCCCCATGTATAACGCATCCCTGGAGGCCTCTGGAGGACGCTGGAGGTCCTCGGATGCCTCTGCTCGCTTGGAGGCCCAAGAGGAGCTGGCACCGCACAGCAAAGGCCTCGCTTCGGCGCTATCTGGGTGCCTTCGGCGCAGCAGGGAAGATGCTGCCCAGGTCCACCAGCTGCCGCTCGAAGCCGCGCAGGAACGCCAGGTCGGCGGGCGGCTGCTCTCCGAGCCGGCGCCGCCGCCAGGGGGGCCACCGCGCCCACGGCGGTGCGTCGCCGCCACCGTCCCGCAGGAAGGAGAAGGCGTCGCGCAGGTCGCCCTCCGCGGCGTCCACGGGCGCGCTGAAGTCCGCCAGCGCGCCGTACATCGGCTGGTGCGTGCGCGCGTGGTCAGCTCAGGCGCCTCTCTCTCTCTCTCTCTCTCTCTCTCTCCCTCCCTCCCTCCCTCCCTCCCTCTCTCTCTCTCTCTTTCTCTCCTCGGCTTCGCACACGCGGTGGGGCGTGCCCTTGGCCGACTCTGAAATCTCCGAGGCCAGACGAGTTGGGGCATCTCCAGAGGGGCGAACATTTGATTCCGCAAGCGTACCCCCCCAGCCTTCCTGCCGCCGGCTTCCGCCAGCCTTCCGCCGAGGAGGAGATGTCGAATTCTCGATCCCTCGAAGGCGAGCCCCTTTCTGGAACGCCCCTCGACATCCTCAGACGTTAGCGCCAACGTGTGCTCGTCCAAATGCGACGAAGGCGACGTGCTGTCAGTGGAGCCGAACGGGGTAGACACACTCTGGGCTCATTAACACACGTCCTGAGGATCAGACTCTGCGCTTATTAACACACGTTCTGAGGATCATCGACCCCCCATAGAACCCTCTCCCAGGGGGTACCGAACACCCCCAGAGCCTCCCATCCCACAGGCGCGGTGGCGGACGTGCGCGGCAGCGCAACAAGATGGCAGGGCACGACGCGCTCAAACGGAAAACTCTCGCACACATCGTCGACGAAGTCGAGAACGTCCCGCGTGCGCCGGTTCAGGATCAGCACGGCGAGGATGGGGGGCACCAGCAGGGCGCCGTCGCAGCGGAGGGCGTCGAAGCTCGCGCGCCAGCTGGGCTTCCAGGTGAAGGGATAGAACGACCCCCACCCGAGCTCCTTCGTGGCGTCGCTCACGCCAGACGGAAACGCGGTCGAGAAGAACGCTGACGCCCCTGCCAGCGAGCCGTCTGGCTCGTTGGCTACGTCGAGCGCGCCACTCTGGAAATAGAGGGCGAAGAGCGCGATCTTCTGCCAGCCCTCCCGCTCCCTCTCCTCCCGGTACGCCGCGTCGGACTGCGCGTTGGCCGTGCCGTCCGTGCCGACCGTGCGCGCGTGCCACCAGAGCGCGCGGGGGTCGTTGGCCAGCAGGATCCGGCGCCGTGCCGCCGGCACGGCCTCTAGAGCCCTCAGATATTGACTGCTGCCCTGCCGACCCGAACATGCGTGAGGGACTATTCTAGGACCGTTTTTGTTGTCGTCGTCGTCGTCGTCGTCGTCGTCGTCGTCGCCGCTCCTCCTCAAACGTTCCAGCCAGAGGGGGTCGAGCAGCATCGTAGTCGAGTCGACCGGAAGCCTCCCCCGCCGGGGGGCGGGGTCCCCCGCCGGGGGGGGGGGTTCTGGGAGAGAGCATAGCGGGAAGGGGAGTCCCCGGGGGTTGTGACCACCCCCCCTGAGCGAGAGGGAAAGAGTAAGTACCCCTCCCTGGGAGAACCTTTCGGCTCCAGCGCGTCCGCGTCGTCGCCATCACCGTTGTCGTCGTCATCGTCCCCCTTCAAGGTCGGTGGCACTGGCCGTAACCACGCCGACCCGGACAGGAGTGAGGGGCTGCTCTGTGGGACGCACAGAGACATACTAAGAGTATCTGTCCTTCTTGGAGGCGCGCGTTCGACCCGAACATATAGTCTACCCATCTTGTAGTATATCGTTTCCGAACGGTGTGGCCAGAAAGATCCCGCCACGGCGAATATACTGTAAGATCTCTCGGTGCGCGCGTCGCCCCTGGGGGGGACGACGCACTCATAGCATTGGCATGCTGGGGTGACGCCGATTCTGGGGCAAAAGAGAACAGAGCCAAGGCTTGTGATGTGCTTGCTCAAAGAAGGCCAGAAGTAGCTCACCAATAGGCTTTGGGCTTTTTCCGCAAGCAGTTGAAACGAAGGCCGCAACAAGTAGGCCTCGAATCTCTGGAACCGCGCGACAGTCCGCGAATGTGTAAGCACGAAGTCTGGCAAGTCGAACCGCGATGGCAGGCAGACGCCTCGCGAATCGCGGAAGCCCGCCGAGGACGGGAGCCGGTCCTTCGACTCGCGCTGGAGCGGCCGCGAGTTGCTCCAACTTTCCCTGGAGATCTCTGGATTTACCTGGAACTGCCCAGATCTATCTCGATGTATACCTGGATTTGCCTGGGTGTACCTCGATTTACCTGCCATTTTTACCTGGCTTTACCTGGCTCGATCCCCACAAATCGATTGGCGAGAAGTCCACAAGCCCTTGGGCACCCTCCCTGGGACCGCCCCCGCCCCTTAGATTTATCCATGACCACCGCCTGGGGGATCGAGCGCCGGGGACCTCGGCAGGCGTCGGAGATGGACCAGTGTGTAGACTGAGGTCGGGCGTGTCCCTCTTCAGGCGGATTTTGGGCGAAAAATAGAATGTGCACACAAAATGCAGCACCCCCCAAAAATGGTCCAACCTACTCAAGAGATCGTTCCCCGACTGCTTTTTGAAAATCTCTGGAGACTCCTCCTGTCGAGGGGCACGCCCGACTCACATACAGTCTGACTACCTACCAGACCACCCCATACCTACCCGAAGACCCGAATTTCGGGTTGGGGGGGGTAAGGGTTCCACATGTGTTTTTCCGATGTTCCCCGCCCCCCCCCACTGGAAATCGAGGGTGAATCTGAGCCTTCGGGTTGGGTTGGGGTCTGCCTGTCGCCCGTGCTGGCCGCCGGGCTGGCTCCCCCCGGATGCCTCCAGAACAAGTGTGCCACACAATTAATCGTCGACTCCCAGGAAAATGTGGGAAAATATGTGAAGTGGGGGGAAAACGAAAACCCAGAAGAAAAGATGGGTAAATATTGGGAATCCTGTTATTTGTGTCTGTTCATTTGTGTGTCCCTGTGCCCATTGAGCGATGTCCACATGCAGCGCCCGCCGGGGTGCCTCGGGCTCGGGCTCGGTGGGCACGGCGGGCAAGGCACCGCCCGCACGTGGGCACGGCGGGCTCGGGCGCGGGCTCGGTGAAGGGGGGCCCGCCGAGCGCGGCCCCACAGGTGCACGGCGGGGATCTCCCCACAGCCACCCTTGGGGAGCCGACGTCCTGCTAGCCCAGCGGGCGTTGGACATGGATCGTCATCGTCATCGTCATCGTCATCGTCGTCGTCATCATCATCATCATCATCATCATCATCATCATCATCATCATCATCATCAGCATCAGCATCATCATCATCATCATCATCATCATCATCATCATCATCATCATCATCATCCTCATCACCATCATCATCGTCATCATCATCGTCATCGTCATCGTCATCGCCACGCCTTCATACCCGCTCGAAGAAGGTACGCCCCCCCCACCCCTCCGAGGGCCCCCACGAGCTGCGGGAGAGAGGACACAAGAACGACGCAACGCCTCGAACCCCCCAGCGCGCGTGCGATTTTGAAGAAGATTCACGCGTGCGGCATCTTTCAGTCCGACTCGTTGAGAGCCCCACAGCCTGGACTCGATTACGATGACGATGTCGATGACGATGACGCTCACGATGATGATGGTGATGAGGATGATGATGATGATGATGATGGTGATGGTGATGGTGATGGTGATGGTGCTGAGAATGAGTAGGTATGCTGATGATGACGATGATCATGATGATGCTGTTGATGATCGTGGTGATGCTGATGATGGTAATGATGAGGATGATGAGGATGGTGATGATGATGCTGGTGATAATGGTGATACTGATGCTGATGATGTTGATGACGCTGATGATGATGGTGCTGATGATGATGGTGGTGGTGGTGATGGTGCTGATGGTGATGATGGTGGTGATGATTAAGAAGAGCACGATGCTGATGATGCTGCTTATGATGATGATGCTGTTACTGATGCTGCTGATGATGAGGATGATGATGACGTCATCATCATCGTCATCGTCATCGTCATGAGGGCGCTCCTGTGCACTCTCGGAAGCCGCCGCGTGGCCTCTCCAGAGACCCGAGCCTCAAGATGCTGCCAAAGGTCCGTCCCAGAGCCGCCTTCGGGGCATTTGGGGCTGTCTTTGAAGTCCTAGGGGCCAGCCGGAGAGACACCGAACAACGAACAATCAGGACGTTTATCTGACTCAATCGTGTTCGTCTGGCCACTCTCAGGAGCGTCCAAGACGGCCCACGAGGGCTTCAAACTCAGCTCAAAACAATGGCCTTCAACTCAGCACCCCCCCAACAGAAGTGGGTGGCAAAATGCCCCCCAATAATGCTTCAAGAAGGTGAGACAACCGAGCAACAGCCGCTCCCCTTACGCAAAGCTTCCCCTCCGCGACGGCCCCGAGACCTCAGACAGGCCCTCAACAGGCCCACAAGAGACCCCCAGCAGGCCCCCAAGAGACCCCCCCCCCAAAGGCCCCTAGAGGCTTCCAAGAGGCCCCCCCCCCCCCAAGCCCCGATGTCCACGACGCTGGCACAGAGGAGGGATGTACCGAAGGTGGACCAGATACTCGGCGGGTCGCTCGGGACGCTCACAACCAAGTCGACGCACAGCAGCGTTTTGCTGGCAGGGTGGAAAGCACACAGTTCTTCGAACGTGGAGACGCCGTCCTTCGAAGGGAAGGGCCCAAGCACCCTGTAGGGCAGCTCGGCGGCCCACGGGGCGACGGTGTCCGAGCATTGCGCGGGCAGCGGCCGCGTGCGCCCGATGGGGAAACCGAGCAGCTCGTTCGGCAGGTTCAGAGGGAAGGCGAACTGGCCGGGCACGATCCAGAACTCGAGGTCGGACCTCGCCTGCGCTAGCGCCACTGCGAAGAGCTTGTGCTCGGCCGCCGTGGTCGGGAGTATGAGGTGGGCCAGCCGCTCGCCAGCAGCCTCCTCGATGCGCGACAGCAGCTGGAGCATCTCCTCGGTGGGTGCCACGGCCGAGTAGCCCACCAGCCCCACCGACGTCCTCACGAGCGCCATCCGCACTGGGACGTGCACGTAGATCACCCCCTGCACCTGCTCCAGGCTCCACACCTGAGCGACGATAAGAAACCGGTCTTACGCGAGATGGCATAGCGACCTTACGCGGTGGCTTACGCGGGCCGCCCGCGCGGCACGCCACATTTGAAGCGAGGACCCTTACGCGCGACCTTACGCGGGCCACTTGCGCGCCAATGTCGGCGAAGACGACCCCGTTTTTTTGGGCGCCGCTCACCTGGCCCGGAACCAGATCGCGCAGGATCGTCTTCCTCCTCCCCCCGCGGAAATACGGGCCCTGCGGCGTGAGCCCCCCCCACTGCTGCGACGGCTCTCTCGCCGCCGCCAGCCCCGCCGCGGCCGCAACGCCGCGAGGCCCCGCGCCCGCGTGCGGCCTGGCGCCGCGCACGGCCCCGGCAGCGGACGACGCCCGGGGCGCGCCGGCGCCGGCCAGCGCGCAGCCGCGGCGGAGCCGCCCGCAGCACACCGCCAGCGCGGCGGCGGCGAGCAGCGCCCGCGGTCGGCACGCCAGCAGCCACGGCCGCGCGGCCGCGCGGCCGCGGGCGCGCGCGGCCATGGCGAGGAGAGCCCGACTGCGGCGTGCGCCCCGCTCGCGAGCCGAGGCGGCTGCGGGCCAGGGCGGCCCAGCTGCCTCGCCCGCGGCCCCGGCGTGCGCCGGCGGCTCCCCGTGCGCCCCCGCTGCGCCCGGCCAGGGCCCTCCGGGGCCGCGGCAGGGTGTATGCCGCCCTCGTGGCCGAGGCCAGGGCGGCCAGCGCACCAGCCCACAGGGCCCGCTTCGGGTTGCTGTCCGCTTTCCCTGTCGTTTCGTCGTTTCCCGCCCGGCTGCACAAAGGTGCGTCTCGTCTTCGGGTTGCTTTTTCCGCTGTCCCTCGCTCCGCCTTCGCCCTGCCTCTGCCGCGAGACCAGAGCAGCGCGAAAGCGGCCCACGAAGTCGCCGAAGCACAGCTTCGCTCGATCGAGCCCTGCCATCCCAGGATCCCAGGGCCCCAAGGTGGCCCTGGCCACGCGCGGACGTCCGCCCAGACTCCCCGTGCGCTCTTCGGCGTCGCGCGTGCACTCTTCGCAGGGCGATCCCCGCTCGGCTCTTCGAGGGCCCTCGCCGCCAACAAAAGTGCAGCCGGCCCGTAGCACGAGCATGCGCGCGGAGGGCGCCAGGGCCCAGGAAGGCCACCTCGAAGCTCTCCGAGCGGGGCGCGGCCAGCGGAAAGTGGCCAAGGATGGGCCGAGGAGGCACGGACGCAAGGGCCCCCTTGGGCAGGGTGCGCACCCTTGCTGTGCGGGCTGACTGTACCCACGCGCTCGAGCTTGGCGGCGCGCGCAGGGGGGTATGGGGAGGGGGGAAGGCTTCTTAGAAGCACCCCTGCTTCTTAGAACGCGCGGGCCTTGTCGACAAATGTAAGGCCGGCGCCTTCTAAGAAGCAGCCTCCTTCTCAGAAGCCTTCCCCCCTCCCCCTCTCCCCCTACCCCCCTCTGCGCGCCGCCAACGAGCGCTGCCACGTGGGGGTGCTGCGGCGGACGGCGAGCCACCTGCTCCGTGCTCGGGCCCGCTCGGGCCCTCGTCGCGCGCCGCCCGCGGGCGCGCGGCCGCGCGGCCTCCCCGGCCCGCGGTAGGAGCTCGACCACAAGAAACCTTCCACGAGAAGCCCAACCCTGAGACCCCAGGATGTCCACGGATCTTCGGTGTGGGAGCGTCACGCGTTCCACAGCGACACCATCGAAACCCGAGAAACCAACCCAGGGGACCCAGGAGGCAAGCATTAGGCCGGGCGTGTCCCCATACAGGCGGATTTTGGACGAAAAATATATTTATTTATCTTACAAAAATGAGCAAAACATCGCCCCAGACTATGATTTTTGAATTTTCCTCCTGTAGAGGGACAGGCCCGACGTAAGCGCTCGCGCCCGTGGTCCGCGGCCCTCGTCGGGGTGGGTCAGGGCAAGGACTTCAAGGGTGCCACGCGCCCGCAGGAGGCAACTTTCAACGACCGGCGTGTAGTTCAATGCTTTCTTGGGCGTCGCTTACTGTGGGGGCGATAGGTGTGGGGGAGGGGGAGTTATGTACACATTTCGAGGCGCCTGCGGGCGAGGGCGCCAGACGAAGTCAGGAAGAGGAGGCCAAAATCGAGGACGAGGCCAGGGGGCAAGGCCAAGGCGAGGATAACATCGGGGGAGAACAGGTCGGGAATCTCTGCCATCCGGCAGCTCTGGAGGATGTCTCGGGCGCCGCGGCCTTCCCAGAACGTTCCGGAAAGCTTTGAGAGAGCTCCGGAACGCTCCGAGGTGGATCCATCCTCGTCCCAGCCCCGTCCGATGGGGCCCCGAGAACCGAGATCGTGAAACCGATTGCAGTGCCGCGAAAGGAGTGAGCCATACAAATACGGCCAGATCCCTTCTCCGAGGCAGCCCTGGAGCACGAGGCGGGGCAAACGGCGCCCGCCCTGACGGCATCGCGACGCCCGAGTCTGACGGGAGGCGTGCCCAGGCAAGAGCCCGCGTGCACTCTGGCGCGCGAAAGCGCGCGCGCACGCGCGAGGACGAGTGCAGAGAACGAAAAAATGGCACACACACACACACACACACACACACACGAGAAAAGTTGGCGCTCCGCGCAGATGTCTTGGATCCGCGCTGGGCCCCCCCGGCGGAGGCCACCCACCCTCGTAGCTGCAAGGTTCCGCCTTGTCCGCTCGAAAGGCAATGTCCGCTCCCTCGTCCACAAGATTGTGCTTCGGTTGCCATCTCGTTCTATCCCCTTTCTCGTCCCTCTTCCTCCTCCTCCTGCTCCTCCTCGGCCTCCTCCTGCCTCCTGCCCCTCCTCCTCCGTCTTTCTCCTCCTCCTCCTCCTCCTTCTCCTCCGACTCCTCCTTCCTCTTCCTCCACCCCATTTAAGCGGACCATGAGCCTCCGAGGGCTCAAGGATCAAGGATACCCTTCCCTTGTTGTCCCACGTGCCCTCCTCCTCTTTAGAAATATTCCTCAACGTCCACATCCGGGCAAGAGCCGCCAGCCCAGGGCCGGGTCGCAGGCGGCCTGTCTGCCTTGGCGCCTACCCGCGTCTTGTGCCCCTCCGGCCGTCTCGGGGGTCCTCCGAGATAACCTCCAACAGAGGACGGAGCACTCCTTCGACGCCTCCCTGTCTTGAGCATCTCTGTGGCGAAAGCAAATGTCTTGAGGGATGCACGCGTTCGCGAGGTCTCTGCAAATCTCAACTTTCTGAATATGTCTGTAGCGAAAGCCTCACTTGCCTGACAGCTTATATATGTATGCATGGATACATGTATAAATATAGCAACTTATAGGTTCCCGATGATACGTCGAAACCTCTAATTCGCAAGCTCACTGGAAATGTTTATTTTCTGAAGACGTCTGCAGCGAAATCTTCAATTTTGATGAACGGTTTCGTAATGCCCCTGTTATACCGTCCCATGTGAGTTAGGATGTCTCAGGTTGGAGGTCCGCTGGTTCCATAAATTTGCAAACCCGCCAACGATATCATCCCAACGATGCGTTGTTTGAGGATGTCTCGAGCGAACAACGTGTTCAGGAACAGGCGTCGTAAAACAACGCCTCTGGCATCCTCGTCTTGTGAGGGTGTCCCGGGTGGAATGATCCCCCACACCATTTGGGATATCCGACGCCCCCTGCTCGACACCCCTCTGGTCTACAGCCAGAGGCCCAACGACACGAAGTGAGCCCTGGGACCAAGCCCTTCTGAAGAAACAACGGCACACGGGAAGGGGCCAGGACATCCGGGGAACGCGTAGTTGAAGGGCCACGATAGGAGGGGATAGACACAGGGTGGAAAACGTCGACCTGGACGCGGCGAAACATCGCCGATAGACCCTCGGGAGCCCCCCGAGAAGCGAGTCCGCACCTCCCTGGACGGGTCGGAGCTCTGGGGCCGCTCTGGGCGATCAGTGGGCGATTGGGGGTCGATGGGTCCCCCCCCTGTGCCTGTCCCCCCCCCTGCGGCTGCCCCTGAAAAGGTGGAAAACCACAGAGCATCCGACTTCGGAGGAGGTGGTGCACAGCCCGAAGTGAAGGGGCCCTGGGACACACAAATAAATGCACACAAATAAAAAGATTCCCCATATGTTCCTATATTTTCTGGGTTTCTGTCTTCCTCCCCCACCTCCCCTTGTTTTGCCCATATTTTCTAGGAATCGACGATTAATTATGTCTGTGTGTTTTTTCCCTCCTGACGAAAGAGGTGCAGCAGGGGGCCAGGCACGCGAGGTGCAGGGCGCCCGGCCCGCGGGCAGAGCGCGGGGGGCAGACGAAGAGAAGCGGCGGAGAGAGCGAGCGCGGCGACCCGGGGGCGAGGCCGCAACCGCTGGCAGAGCTCTGGGTAGCGTGTCGCAGATGGGCCGCGCAGCGCCAGACGAGGGGAGAGGGGACAAGGGGGGGAGGCGGAGGCGGAGGGAGGAGCGGGAGGGGGGGGAGGAGAAGGAGGAGGGGGAGGAGGAGAAGGAGGAGGAAGGAGGAGGACGAGGAGGAGGAGGAGGAGGACGGGGAGGAGGAGAAGAAGAAGAAGGAGGAGGAAGAGGAGGAGGAGCATGTGGGAGCATGTCGCCCAACACACACGCGGCTTGAATCACAAACCAGTCAGGGCACAGCGGGGTGACCACGTCGCCGGCGACTCGCAGCCTAAGCGCAACGGCCGGTGCTTAGGGGGGCCTTCAAACGGCCTCAACCCTGCCGAAGCACCTAACAGGCGCAACTGGGTTTGTACCCCAGGGTGAGTGGACACAAGGTCCCATGGGATTTACGGGCCACCAAATGCGCGATCCCCGCGCCTGGGAACCAACTCCAGTGCTACGGGCGCTGCTGACGCCACCAGCGGCAAGGCGAAGACGCCAAGCCACTTGGTTCCAAAACGAAACGGCCAATCGCACCTCACCCAACTGGCGGTTGACGCTCCTGACACTGTGCCGCGTGGAGTGCGTGGCACTGACGCCATGAGAACAGGTGCCATGCCCCCTCCCACGGGGCGGAAGAGGAGGAGGAGGAGGAGGAGGACGAGGAGGAGGAGGAGGAGGAGGAGGAGGAGGACGAGGAGGAGAAGGGGGAGGAGGAGGAGGACGAGGAGGAGGAGGAGGAGGAGGAGGAGGAAGAGGAAGAGGAGGAGGAGGAGGAGACGGAGGAGGAGGAGGAGGGGGAGGAGAAAGAGGAGGAGGAGAAGGAGGAGGAGGAGGAGAAAGGAAAGGAGGGAGAGGAAGGGGTAGGTTCTAGGATCCTAGGTTGGCCGCGCGCGCGCCCGCGGGGTGGGGGGGGCACGGGGCCCAGGTGAGGAACGGGAGGAGGACGGAAGGAGGAGAGGAAGAGGAGGAATACATTAAGCAAAGAGGAAAAAGGAAGCGCCAGCGCCAGCGCCTGCGAGCCCAGCTCCCCTGTGCTCAACAGCGAGCTCTTGGAGAAGTAGAAGGGCTGCCGCCGATCCCCGGGTGTGCGGGAGGGAGATAGCACTGTGCAGTCCGACATACGCTCTGTCCACGGCGAACCCTCGTACCCTAGCTCGCACGACAGGCAACTGCGGAGCGCGGCGCGGAGAGCTGA